TAGTTGAATCCTTTTGAGGGGCCGCAGCTCCAGGAGACAAAAAATTTAGTTGAATCCTTTGAGGGGCCGCAGCTCCAGGAGACACAAATTTAGTTGAATCCTTTCGAGCGGCAGCCAAATAGCAGACAAAAATTTAGTTGAATCCTTTTGAGGGGCCGCAGCTCCAGGAGACAAAATTTAGTTGAATCCTTTGAGCGGCAGCCAAATAGCAGACAAAAATTTAGTTGAATCCTTTTGAGGGGCCGCAGCTCCAGGAGACAAAAATTTAGTTGAATCCTTTCGAGCGGCAGCCAAATAGCAGACAAAAATTTAGTTGAATCTTTTGAGGGGCCGCAGCTCCAGGAGACAAAAATTTAGTTGAATCCTTTTTGAGGGGCCGCAGCTCCAGGAGACAAAAATTTAGTTGAATCCTTTTGAGGGGCCGCAGCTCCAGGAGACAAAAATTTAGTTGAATCCTTTCGAGCCGCAGCCAAATAGCAGACAAAAATTTAGTTGAATCCTTTTGAGGGGCCGCAGCTCCAGGAGACAAAAATTTAGTTGAATCCTTTTGAGGGGCCGCGGCTCCAGGAGACAAAAATTTAGTTGAATCCTTTCTGAGCGGCAGCCAAATAGCAGACAAAATTTAGTTGAATCCTTTTGAGGGGCCGCAGCTCCAGGAGACAAAATTTAGTTGAATCCTTTCGAGCGGCAGCCAAATAGCAGACAAAAATTTAGTTGAATCCTTTTGAGGGGCCGCAGCTCCAGGAGACACAAATTTAGTTGAATCCTTTTGAGGGGCCGCAGCTCCAGGAGACAAAAATTTAGTTGAATCCTTTCGAGCGGCAGCCACAGTAGCAGACAAAAATTTAGTTGAATCCTTTTGAGCGGCAGCCACAGTAGCAGACAAAAATTTAGTTGAATCCTTTTGAGGGGCCGCAGCTCCAGGAGACAAAAATTTAGTTGAATCCTTTCGAGCGGCAGCCAAATAGCAGACAAAAATTTAGTTGAATCCTTTATGAGGGGCCGCAGCTCCAGGAGACAAAAATTTAGTTGAATCCTTTTGAGCGGCAGCCAAATAGCAGACAAAAATTTAGTTGAATCCTTTTGAGGGGCCGCAGCTCCAGGAGACAAAAATTTAGTTGAATCCTTTTGAGGGGCCGCAGCTCCAGGAGACAAAAATTTAGTTGAATCCTTCCGAGCGGCAGCCAAATAGCAGACAAAAATTTAGTTGAATCCTTTTGAGGGGCCGCAGCTCCAGGAGACAAAAATTTAGTTGAATCCTTTTGAGCGGCAGCCAAATAGCAGACAAAAATTTAGTTGAATCCTTTTGAGGGGCCGCAGCTCCAGGAGACAAAAATTTAGTTGAATCCTTTCGAGCGGCAGCCAAATAGCAGACAAAAATTTAGTTGAATCCTTTTGAGGGGCCGCAGCTCCAGGAGACAAAAATTTAGTTGAATCCTTTTGAGGGGCCGCAGCTCCAGGAGACAAAAATTTAGTTGAATCCTTTCGAGCGGCAGCCAAATACAAGACAAAAATTTAGTTGAATCCTTTTGAGCGGCAGCCACAGTAGCAGACAAAAATTTAGTTGAATCCTTTTGAGGGGCCGCAGCTCCAGGAGACAAAAATTTAGTTGAATCCTTTCGAGCGGCAGCCAAATAGCAGACAAAAATTTAGTTGAATCCTTTTGAGGGGCCGCAGCTCCAGGAGACACAAATTTAGTTGAATCCTTTTGAGGGGCCGCAGCTCCAGGAGACAAAAATTTAGTTGAATCCTTTCGAGCGGCAGCCACAGTAGCAGACAAAATTTAGTTGAATCCTTTGAGCGGCAGCCACAGTAGCAGACAAAATTTAGTTGAATCCTTTTGAGGGGCCGCAGCTCCAGGAGACAAAAATTTAGTTGAATCCTTTCGAGCGGCAGCCAAATAGCAGACAAAATTTAGTTGAATCCTTTTGAGGGGCCGCAGCTCCAGGAGACAAAAATTTATTTGAATCCTTTTGAGGGGCCGCAGCTCCAGGAGACAAAAATTTAGTTGAATCCTTTCGAGCGGCAGCCACAGTAGCAGACAAAAATTTAGTTGAATCCTTTTGAGCGGCAGCCACAGTAGCAGACAAAAATTTAGTTGAATCCTTTTGAGGGGCCGCAGCTCCAGGAGACACAAATTTAGTTGAATCCTTTTTGAGGGCCGCAGCTCCAGGAGACAAAAATTTAGTTGAATCCTTTCGAGCGGCAGCCAAGTAGCAGACAAAAATTTAGTTGAATCCTTTTGAGGGGCCGCAGCTCCAGGAGACAAAAATTTAGTTGAATCCTTTTGAGGGGCAGCCACAGTAGCAGACAAAAATTTAGTTGAATCCTTTGAGGGGCCGCAGCTCCAGGAGACACAAATTTAGTTGAATCCTTTTGAGGGGCCGAGCTCCAGGAGACACAAATTTAGTTGAATCCTTTTGAGGGGCCGCAGCTCCAGGAGACAAAAATTTAGTTGAATCCTTTTGAGGGGCCGCAGCTCCAGGAGACACAAATTTAGTTGAATCCTTTTGAGGGGCCGCAGCTCCAGGAGACAAAAATTTAGTTGAATCCTTTTGAGGGGCCGCAGCTCCAGGAGACACAAATTTAGTTGAATCCCTTTTGAGGGGCCGCAGCTCCAGGAGACAAAAATTTAGTTGAATCCTTTTGAGGGGCCGCGGCTCCAGGAGACACAAATTTAGTTGAATCCTTTTGAGGGGCCGCAGCTCCAGGAGACAAAAATTTAGTTGAATCCTTTTGAGGGGCCGCAGCTCCAGGAGACACAAATTTAGTTGAATCCTTTTGAGGGGCCGCAGCTCCAGGAGACAAAAATTTAGTTGAATCCTTTGAGGGGCCGCAGCTCCAGGAGACACAAATTTAGTTGAATCCTTTTGAGGGGCCGCAGCTCCAGGAGACAAAAATTTAGTTGAATCCTTTTGAGCGGGCAGCCAAGTAGCAGACAAAAATTTAGTTGAATCCTTTTGAGGGGCCGCAGCTCCAGGAGACAAAAATTCAGTTGAATCCTTTCGAGCGGCAGCCAAATAGCAGACAAAAATTTAGTTGAATCCTTTTGAGGGGCCGCAGCTCCAGGAGACAAAAATTTAGTTGAATCCTTTTGAGGGGCCGCAGCTCCAGGAGACACAAATTTAGTTGAATCCTTTTGAGGGGCCGCAGCTCCAGGAGACACAAATTTAGTTGAATCCTTTTGAGGGGCCGCAGCTCCAGGAGACACAAATTTAGTTGAATCCTTTTGAGGGGCCGCAGCTCCAGGAGACACAAATTTAGTTGAATCCTTTCGAGCGGCAGCCAAATAGCAGACAAAAATTTAGTTGAATCCTTTTGAGGGGCCGCAGCTCCAGGAGACAAAAATTTAGTTGAATCCTTTTGAGGGGCCGCAGCTCCAGGAGACACAAATTTAGTTGAATCCATTTGAGCGGCAGCCACAGTAGCAGACAAAAATTTAGTTGAATCCTTTTGAGGGGCCGCAGCTCCAGGAGACAAAAATTTAGTTGAATCCTTTCGAGCGGCAGCCAAATAGCAGACAAAAATTTAGTTGAATCCTTTTGAGCGGCAGCCACAGTAGCAGACAAAAATTTAGTTGAATCCTTTTGAGGGGCCGCAGCTCCAGGAGACAAAAATTAAGTTGAATCCTTTCGAGCGGCAGCCAAATAGCAGACAAAAATTTAGTTGAATCCTTTTGAGCGGCAGCCACAGTAGCAGACAAAAATTTAGTTGAATCCTTTTGAGGGGCCGCAGCTCCAGGAGACAAAAATTTAGTTGAATCCTTTTGAGGGGCCGCAGCTCCAGGAGACAAAAATTTAGTTGAATCCTTTTGAGGGGCCGCAGCTCCAGGAGACAAAAATTTAGTTGAATCCTTTTGAGGGGCCGCAGCTCCAGGAGACAAAAATTTAGTTGAATCCTTTTGAGGGGCCGCAGCTCCAGGAGACAAAAATTTAGTTGAATCCTTTTGAGGGCCGCAGCTCCAGGAGACAAAAATTTAGTTGAATCCTTTTGAGGGGCCGCAGCTCCAGGAGACAAAATTTAGTTGAATCCTTTTGAGCGGCAGCCACAGTAGCAGACAAAAATTTAGTTGAATCCTTTTGAGGGGCCGCAGCTCCAGGAGACAAAAATTTAGTTGAATCCTTTTGAGGGGCAGCCACAGTAGCAGACCTCCGCTCCTTTTCGACCTCCTTCGCTGGTCCGTTTTTTCGGAATTTTTCAAAACCTTTTGGGGGTGTGGGGCCAGAGTTCTGTGGAAAAATTGTGCATGCAAAATCCCGGGTTGTCGGGACGGGGTCAGCATGGCTAGTTTGTGCAGTGCGGGGTTGAAAAAGTGATACCTATTAATGAAAAAATAACGAAAGGGAACCAAGCGTTACATTTGACGAATTGAACTCCGAAAAATACTTTTTTTTGCGCTAATAAGTGAGAAGACAACGTTGAAATCAATCAAGCGCATTAATCATAGCCAGATATTAAGGAAAAGTATAAAAGTTAAATTTGGTTATTAGTAATCGACGACTACAAATCGCGATTTTTTTTCAATGTTAGTATTCCTAGCGCAAGCTAAACGATACACCAATCGATGCAGAAAAATCTCGCGCATCTTTCTATGCTAGTTTCAAGTGGCGCTCGAAATACTAAAAATTCGGAAGTCTCAAAAAACTGGTTTTACTTTTCGATTTAGCCATGTTGCGGTCATTTTCGCGCTTTGCGATGTATTAGAGAAATGATCCCCATCCCAAGTTAGGTATTGTAGCAATTTTTCAGCAAATTCGGGGCAGTAACTTTCGAGATAGTTTTTCGGGGCCGGCAACTTTGAGGCCCATTTAAACACTAAAAATTAATTTTTTAAACTTTCAAAACTATGCAGCCCTACTAATTCGACTATGCTCTATCCGATGCCGTCAAAAAAAAGGGTCGAAAAAAACTGTGCCAAGCTATAATGAGGACTGTTCGAGTGACTCGCGGATGGCCTTTTAAAAGCCATACCCAAATTTTTAGCTGGCTTTGCCGGGGCGATGTTCGGCGTTCCACTCCTTGGTTGGGTGGCACCTCGCCTCGGGATCCATCTATTGATGTCTGGAATGGGGCTGATGGTGGCTGTCTCGTGTTTCATCCATCCACTCACCGTATCATGGTCATTTCCGGTGTTCGTCGGACTACGATTTATTAGTGTAAGTTCTGAAGCTTCGTAATAAAAAACATTCAGGTGGACAATACCGGTCTAAACGCTAACAATAACCATTCAGGGTACTGTACTTGCCGTCCTCTTCGCCACAGCTGGAGACGTCATCGCAAAATGGGCTCCCCTGGATGAACGTGGAATTTGGGTAGCGATATTGACCGGTAGGAATTCCCAATTTTCTCTATATCAAAAAATTTTGAAGGACATCTCGCCTATGCCCATATGCGCCAACGACATTTGCGCCTACGACATTTGCGCGCAACGAAATTTGCGCCCAACGACAATTGCGCGCAATGCCATTTGCGCGCACGACAATTGCGCTCTATGGGGGAAAGCCAACGTAGGGAGGGGCGAGAGGATTACCTAAAATGGAGATAAAATGGTTGTTTTATAGGTTTTCTAGTGTTATTATGGTAGTTTCGCAGCCGTCCGACCTACTAGGCCATAAATTACCGGCTGGGCAAGGTGATTTCGGCCTACTAAGGCATTCTCAGACTCTAATAGCTATTTCTCTTCTAAAGCAGCTTTTCCGCTATTTTTTTACGCAGTTTCTTGTCTCTACATACGGGAAACGATCGGAATATGTATTTCTAATGTGAGAAAGGTATAAACTCGCCGTGGAAAGGTTTTTAGAGCCATTTTCCGATTACCTGGAAAACCCATTACCCGTAAACAAGGCGTTTTCTCGGCGTTCTGGTCTCCAAACACTGTTTTATAACAAGCATTTCATGCTCGCAACAGTATTGTGGCTGAAAACATAAGAAACCGCGAGAAAATTGAGGCAAACCCAGTAACTACAGTTTTTTTACTGAAACACGGCAATTCAAGCCAAAAAGACTCAATAAGGCCAAAACAACCCGCTCGGGGTGATAATTTGCCGTCTACATAGCCTCCCTATCGCTAAACAACTTTTAAAAAGCATACAAAGCTTCAAAAACTTCCATTTTAGGTAATCCTCTCGCCCCTCCCGACGTTGGCTTTCCCCATAGAGCGCAATTGTCGTGCGCGCAAATGGAATTGGGCGCAACTGTCGTTGGGCGCAAAAGTCGTTGCGCGCAAATGTCGTTGGCGCAAATGTCGTGCGCGCATATGGTCTCGGCGCAATTGCATGAGCGCACATGTCGTTAGGCGCAAATGCTTTCGCGCAATGGTCACCCTCCCTTAATGGGTGCTGGAGGTACCAGAAATTTGCAAAATCAGATTTCCATTTTTCTAGTCTCCTGGCCGGCCATCTACTACTCCCACGGCGGGCTGGCGTTGATTGTCACGATTCTGTGGATTGTGCTTCATAAGTAAGCATAGTAACTTAATTTTCGTTGCGTAAAAGCAACAGTGAACGTTAGGTAAAGCTGAAGAACACATTTAGAAATGATCCTCGTAAAGTCACATGGCTAAAACAAGGCGAACTTGATCAAATTCTGGAAGGAAAACAGGAAATGCTCGTCAAGAAGGCCAAAAAAAGGGTATGTTGTTATCGTTTAATCAAACTACTTGTAAAATGTTATTGATCCTAAGATCTTTGAACGTCGTGTCCTAAGATTAGGAAAATCCAACATTTTTTTCAGGCGATCTCCACCCTAAAACTCCTGAAATCTCCAGTAATCCTCGGCACTTGGGCCGCCTGTTTTGGCTACTATTTCGCTGTTCAATTCGCTATTACATTCTCTTTAATCTATTATTCTCAGGCTTTGCATTTTCCGCTGTCGACTTGTGGTCTGGTCGTCATGATCCCGCTTTTGCTATTGGTAGGTGAAGTTTAGATTGCTCTCTCTCTCTCCATATTTCTCTCTCATTCTCGCTTCAACAAATTTTTCCGTGTTTTAGTTACTGATCAAAGGCTTTCCGATCAGAATCTCGAATTACAAAATCTCGAATGACAAAATCTCGAATGACAAAATCTCGAATGATTAGAATCTCGAACGATCAGAATCTCGAACGATTAGAATCTCGAATGAACAGAATCTCGAATGATTAGAATCTCGAACGATCAGCACCTCGAATTTACAAAATCTCGAATGACAGAATCTCGAATGACAAAATCTCGAATGATTAGAATCTCGAATGATCAGAATCTCGAACGATTAGAACCTCGAATGAACAGAATCTCGAATGATTAGAATCTCGAACGATCAGAATCTCGAATTTACAAAATCTCGAATGACGGAATCTCGAATGACAAAATCTCGAATGGTCAAAATCTCGAATGAACAAATCTCGAATGCCAGGATTCCCACTGTACACTAATCTAGTTTCGTCTGGCTCGATCCAGCATCGATTTTTTGTATTAGATAGAAGCTAGTAGGCTGTGAGTATGCCCTGCCGAGGCATGGTCCTTTTTCAGCATCATACTTTACAAATGATAATGAAGAAGATTAACGTTAAGTCGAAAAATTTGTTTTTTCGACGCAAGGGGCTCAAATTCTTGAAGTCTTTAACTTTTAGATAGTGTTGCTACAGCTATTGATTGCCAAAACCTCCATAGAAAAACTTTGGGTTCAATTACTAGGCCGTTAGTGGAAATTTTCATCCAAACTGTGTTCTGCTGGATCGAAGTTTTGTTCATTCGAGATTTTGTCCATTCGAGATTTTGTCATTCGAGATTCTGTCATTCGAGATTTTGTAATTCGAGATTGTGTCAAACTACCGATCAAAAGTGGCCACCGGCCAACTTTCCGGCATGCTCCACTCAATACGGGAAGTTACCCGGATGAGGATATTCAATTCTATTGCCCTATTCGGGTCGGCTGTTTTCTTTATTCTTGCTTCATTTTGGGAGCCAAATGGTAGCTGGGGAGATGTGACGGTCGTGGGTATGTTTTTCGGCTGGATAGTTATTCAAGAGACGAACAAGGCATGGACATGGATTTCTAGCTTTCGTTGACATATGCATTCATACACGATGCAACACGAAACGCGCATGCCTGCCCTGCCACTTCGCAATGGATTACGACTGTTTAAGGAACGCCACTGATAGCACTATTATGTCCGACCCTTTAGCTACCGTGGTTCATCATGGAAACGTCTGCGCGCGCGTGGCTTTTCGCGCCGCGGAAAACCCATAAAAAATCTATGCTCGTCGCATTACTGACTCGAAATTGTTACGCATTACGCGATGAAACGCCGGTCTGCGCGTTGCGTGTCGCGAGGCGACATAGTTCATAGCCAATCCATGGCCAAGTTAATCCATAGCTGTGACTTCTGCCTACCTTTAATGCTCCTTACAGTACTCCCCGTCTGCATCCTCGGCTGTCACAGCGGAGGCTACCCGGAATGTGTCGTGGTAGTGGCCAAACAACATTCACCGGCCGTTTTCGCCTATATGCAGGTCAGAAACAGCTTCATTTAATTTTTATTAGATACTTTTCAGTTATTAGCATGTGCTGCCCTAGTGATCGGCTCCTTCCTTGTCCCTTCCCTTACACCCACCGGTTCCCACACCGAGTGGGCCCTGGTTTTTCGCATTTACGCGTCCGTGCTGGTGATTTGTAATTTGATATTTTGCTGGTTGGCTTCGGGTAGGCTTTTAAAGGGACTATAAACCTTGAGCGTTATGGATTTCACAACAATATATGGACGTTTAAGACGAAGACGAGGCAGCACGCCTGGACAAAATCTGAGGTCGAAACCGCTTACAGGAAATTGCTGCCGAAGAGCCGAGTAGTCAAGCTTCTCAAGCTGGGTCTACGGTAGAATGAAATCATGAAACATTTAGGTAATAAAGTCGTGCATTTTTGGGATGATACATTGCGAAATGCGACCGTATACTTCTCACTATTTTTTTGCTGATTCATATTTTGGTTCCTTCGCATTATCCGGGGAAATGAGAGCGTGACACACTTTTTTCAAAGGATTCAATCCTTCCAATATAAATATTTTATTTATAACTGGTTCGAAACTCCAAAATTAAAAAAAACTCATTCAAAAACACTTTCTATTATGCATTTCTGGACTTTCAGAAAAGGAAAAATTCGTCCCCCTCCCCCCGATAATGCAAAATAACCCATATTTTTACAACACTACCCCCGAAGAAAAAAAATTTGAAATTCTTGGAAGCCATAGCCATAAATACGTCCCTTCGCCTACGTACGTCCCTTTAAAAGAGTTTTCTATGTTTTTATAGCACTCCAATTATTCAATTCAGACACATACACAAGCGCAATTCAAGACACCAAAAAAGATAGGCAAAAGATGGGTCAAAAAAGGCCCGAAAATTCTAGAAAGCCCAAGGGGGGAAATACACCGAAAAGTGGGGAATACGATACGATTACGATAAGAAATCGGGGGGAAAGAATGGTGAGGACTCGGGGCATCGAATTCGTCAATTTTCGTTAATCCGTTGTGGGGGTCGTTGTGGCCGATGGTCCAGGACGCGGAGGCGGCGACTAGTTCTCGGAACTTCTCAGAACTGCTGCTAACTTCTGGCCGGGCGACACCGTCGAGTGCTGGAGCTGCGTCTGAAAAAAATAGCATAAAAAGCATTTACTTATTCCACTAAAATTAAAATTAAAGCCAGAAAAACTGGAAAAACAGGCAAAAACTCAGGCCATACCTCCGGGCTCTTAGCTCCATCAGTTTCCAGGGCTTTGTCTTGTGGCGTGGGTTGAGCGTGCCGGGCGGCATGAGTCCGGCTGGTCCCAGTCAACATTCTGAAATCAGAAATAATGATGGAAGGATTTTTTGCTGGTATAGGGCAAGGAAGCCAAAAATCGACCCCTTCCGTCGACTAGGTGTCGACAGTGCGTGGCTTGCAACAATGACTGCACGCATGCTGATCAGAAGGCGTCCATATGCCTATTAGCGCGAGAAAAATGGCTGTCTGGGTTGGAGGGGTCAGTTTTGACTATTCTTAGCGCCTTTAGGACGATTAAATTCGCTAAATAATGGGGTGTCACAAGGCCCCCTCTCCTCCTGGCGGTCCGTGGGAAGCTCAGATCAGGATGATTTTTGTGCCATTCGACCTTGCCTGTACCTAAAATTGCGAGAGAAACAGCGGGGCTTCATTTTTCTAAGATTTATTCTGATTCGTCCGATATTCAGCGTTTTCTAAAGCAGGTATCTTTTCAATAGGAATTTCGTAGTTAGCATGCGGATCTCGCGTAAATCAGCCGTTTCCATGGATTTTGTGGGTAAATTCGCCAATAAAATACATAATAAAGGAAGTGAACCCTCCATGCTTCTCGCCTTTTCGAGGCTCTCGATAGATACTTAAACGGCGAGAATCGGACACCCTGTATGTCCGGAATCAACTAGAAAACTATTTTAATCTGGATGATGGCGTGTGTGAAATGATTCGTAACCCAGGGTACGCGGCGAAGCCTTATTTGTCGGAGCATTGGCCCGCTTCGGTCCCGCCCGGCTCAAAAAAAAGCGCCACACCTACGTTTTTCGAATAATGGATGCCGATCTAGCACTTTCTAATTCTTAGATGCTAGTTTTATTTGATTTGGCAAGGATCAGGCTAATCACTTCTTTTTCCGCATTTCCTTCCCCGTTCCGGTGCTCCAGAAAATAATAAGAATCCGGGCATTCAGCCAGGGACAGAGCCCCCCTTTTGATTTCATTTATCCCATCACACGCACTTTGTCACGGGTGCCAAGCAAAAATAACCCTCAAATTTCCTTATTCTAACACGTGCTAGTAAATGCTTATTTCCTCTAACGCTTTAGTCAACTTTTAATCCTTTAAAAGCCCTGTAGAACCCCTCTCTCACCGCCAATTTACCGGCGGCCGGCTTCTTCTTGAAGACGCCGACGAGCTTCTGCATGATGGACTTCTTGGGTTGTCTCTCCGTCTTCACCGACTCGTCCGACCTGTCGGACTTCGGGTCCGACTCGGACTTGCTTGTATCCTAGACGAGGTTTTGATAAGTTGGAAGGTCAATCTGATACCTTTTCATCGTCCGTTTTCGGCTTCTCCTCCTTCGGTTTGTCGTCGGCTTTTGGCTCGTCGTTTCCGGGCGATTTCTTCTCGACTTCGACTAAAAAAGAAGGGTTTTATCACATATTTTAAGGTAAATTTCGGACTTTCTTACCGTCACACTTCCTTTAAAACGCAATTTTTCCACTCAACTACCCATTACAACACTTTTTTCGCCACTTCTAGCTGTCCTACTCCCTTTAGCAGTAATTTTCTCGAAAAATTGTATTTAAGCCCCGGAAATTCCAATTTAGAATTTGTAGCGTGTGCAGCTACGTTTAGTACAGCTTCTGAATCCGCTAATTACGCATCGAAAACCAAAAAAGGGCTAAATTCGAGAAACCGGATAGGATAGCTCCAATTTTTTCAAAGATACCTTTATGCTTTCCCTCCTTGGACGCCTTGCTCTCCTTCGACGCGCCGCCGCCCGCCTTCTTCTCTTTTGAGCCGCCCGCTTTCTTTTCCTTCGATCCGGCCGTCTTCTTCGTGTCCTTGCCCGAGTTTTTGTTCTTCTCCTTCGATTGCATCGGGCCTGGAAAATAGATTCATAGAGGGTTCCAGGATTTCTCTCTCCCTCTTTCTCTCTCGCTCACTCTCTCTCGCCTCACTTTTAGTTTTCTTCGCCTTGATCTTTGATTTCTTTTCTTTCGTCTTCGTCTCCTTTGACGGTACAATTCAAATAGGCGGGGGGGGGGAAAGATTTAGGCGGGGGGGAAACCAACTTTTTTGTCGGCCCTGGCGGGGATAGTAATCAAATATAAAGTGTTTTCACATTGTTTTTAGCAAAATTTAAGCCTATCTGAATAGGAAAGACTTTTTTTGAAAAAGTCGAAAATTTGGTCATTTTTGGGCCGTAAAAATTGATTTTTCGACCTAAAATTAAATTTTTTAATTAAGCTTTGTAAAGTCTTTATGTTTAGGAATAGCTATAAACAATTTAGAAGCACTTCCACTATTTATATAAAAAATATAGGCTTGGGCGGAAAAAAGTTCAGTTCCCCCCGCCTAAATCTTTCCCCCCCCCGCCTATTTGAATTGTACCCCTTTGACTTCTTCACCTTCGCTGGTTTCTAAATTTCAAATGAAGTCAAGCCTGCAAAGCCAAGCCTATTCTAAGCCAAACCAAACCTAAACCTAAGTCCTATCCGAAGCCCAAGTCTAAGCGAAGCCTTAGCTAGGCCTAAGCTAAGCCCAACCTAAGCCTAAGCTAAGCCTAAGCCGAAGCCAAGTCAGGTACAGTAAGCTACCGTTGGCTTCGACTTGGTCTTCGTCTTCGATTTGCCCTTGCCGCCGGCTTCCACTCGGCAGTCCTCCGAGGAGCTCTAAAAATAAGTTCAAAAATTTGGGCCCAAGTACCGATTCGCTTTCATCCCTAATCTTCTGCTCGCTGCCCTCCGAATTGTCGTCATCATCACGCATGGGCGCCGCCTAGAAAATTTGAATATTTGAGCTAATTTGAATATTAGCGAACCTGCATAAATAACAGCGCCAGAAAGGGGGCCCAGCCGATTTTCATCTGGCGGGGTGGGGAATGATTTCTCGTTTTTCTGGATTAGCAACCGGACGAGAAATCCTAATTTTTGCGCCGATAATTTACGCAAATTAGTTCCGGTCCAGGACACAAAATTTAACCGTTTTTTGCTGCTGTTGCTCTACTCGCTCTACATTTACTTTTTGTTATAATTTCTATTTGCGCTGTGTTCCTTACAAAATTTCCCAAAATTCGCTGCTGTTTGCTTGCTGCTTCGCTTTATATCATTTGAAATCGATTTTTATAGTAGAGGTTGCTTAACGGGGGGAGGAGGGAAGCGGAGATGAAACCAAATTTTTGTATTTCTAAAAGTTATCCCGATATTTTAGAAACGCTATCGGATAGAGCGTTAAAAATTATCCCAGGGCATTCAGCTATTTTTAGTTAGAAAAAGGTGATCTACAACGATTTTTAATTGACAACGCTTTTCCCGATAATATATATCATATCATACTAATTTTTAAATTAAGTTATTTGGATAAAATTAAAGGTCTTACTAGTTTAATTTTCTATTCTATATGTATACACCCCGGTGAAGCAACCTTTACCTGTTATTTTTCATCGTCCTCAATTCTTGCCTCTTGTGAAAGCTGCAAACTACAAATTGCTGTACAATTTTCATGTTTTCCTTTTCCGTTAGTTTCCAGTTGTGCTCCAAAGCCATTTAATGGATTTTGTATTATTACAAAATCCAATTTCCCCTTATCCCCAATCCCCAAAAACAGCTCCCCAGACTTTTTCAGCCTATTTTACGAAATTAAGCCGGATGTGAGCTCGGTGTCCCGGCGCTGGAGATGAGGATTTGCGAGCGCGCTGTCGATGGAGTCGAGGATTTACCGGCCCTTCACCTCCAAAACAAACCAATTTTCGCTATCGAAATCTTTGTTGGAATATGTATCGCCAGATGCTTCAAACTCCGCGAAGCCAAGCTATTGGCTTCGGAAACTGAGCCCAAGCCCGTTGGAGCTACTTTTATTGCAAAGAAGCCGGCATCTGCTTCGAAAGCGCCAGAAAACGACATTGGTTCTGATGACGAGGAGCCGAAAGTGAAGCCGTTGAAGCCGTTGCTGCGTATTGATTCTAGGTATGTCTAAGGAAGCTTACTTACCAATTAGAGCCCTTTCGATTATCCTATCGGTTTATTTTATTAAGGTTTTTAGGCGTCGAGAGGCCTTCTTCACTTATTTCTATTTTTCAGATCCGAGCTCAAACTCCTTCGCCGCTCGAATTCCATCAAATCCGAGCAAGATCTAAAATTGGCGAGATCAGATTCGAAAGCGTCACGCTCCGAAAATCCGAGTCTAAGACCCATCCTAAAGTCCGACTCGACCTCGAGCATCAAGCAAAAACTGAATCACATGGAGTCGAAGCCGCTTTTACGTATCGATTCTAAGCCCGAAACGATCGTTCCGAGGTTGCCAATAAGTGAGGAAGACTCGGGGGAGTTTCTTTCTGGGAGTAGTGAAGATAAAACGAAAGCGTTGTGGAGGAATCAGAAGCGCCGTCGGAGTAAACATAGCGTTACGCTACCGACGAATATTGAGATGCAGGTAGGATTATGGTTTTCAGGAAGGCAATTAGGCCAAGCCACACACACAAAAATAAAAAGTACCTTAGGACAAAAATACTTTAAAATATTCCCGGATTTTAGACAACGACGACATTACACGACAACCAAGCCAAGGGAAACGGTGCAGGAATTCCTCAACCACATGGCTATTATAAAGACGTGCTGCCGAATGTTTGTAAGTTTTATTGTATTTTTAGTTTTAAAGTTGTTAAGTCGATCCTAATTTTTACATTGTATGCTTTTTATACTATCAACTATAATAATTTTCTTGACGCGTCTGTCCGTCTGTCTGAAGCCGAATTCAACTCGAAGGGGAAAAGAGCTAGAGCTTAGCTCTCGTCAGTTCGGATAGAGCGCCGTAATCAGAAACCCCAAACTGATAAAAAATTTGGATGAAAAGTTTTAGTTTAAATTATTAAAATTAACTTTGAAAGTTTTTTCCTTAGTAAAAGGGGTGGGGGCCCCTCTCCCGGCAGGCCACGCCCCCTTTTCCCTTCGCCCCTCTTCCCCAGCACCTCCCCACGTCGTTAGGTGCGTATTGTCCCGGAGATGACTGCACGCTCAGAAAATTTTCAAAAATTAGCTGTTTTCGACGTTAAAATTAAGTTTTTGTTGAAAAATCGGATGCCCTCTTTGTTAGGAAACAATTAGCATACGCCGGAAGTCTCGGTAGCCTATATAAGGGAAAAGAGGCAGCGTTTTGATTTTTTAGTCATCGCAAACGGAAAGTCTGAATTATGCAAATTGAAGAAGCTCATGGGATCAGACGGAGCAAGGATTAAAAATCTTTTAAATAAAAGCAGGAATGTAAAGTAAATTTATCGAATTAATCGTAATTGACCATTTCAGCGTATCAATTCAAACTTCCTCACTTACCATATTTTTCAGAAGTTTCATGCTGAACCAACATCCCGGGTCAAATTTCCATACGACATTCGAGTAGCTTGAGTTTAATTCCGGAACAAGCCCCATTCTACATTGCTTCTCACGTATAAAATGAAGCTGGCAGCTGACATGATACCTTCAATAACCAACCACATCCGTGGGAGGTTATGCGCCTGCCGAGCGCCTTCTTCTTCCTCGCCTTCCGGCTGATGGACGGGGACGAGACGGGCCACGACGACACCCCCGTGAAGGACGGGCGTCACGTCAACGACCCGCCGCGCCCCCTCGCCATTGCCGCTGCATCTACGCATTTTTTCGGCCGTGCCAACCCTGAGCATATTATTTGCGACGGGTTGAGCCAGTACCGCGCAACAGGGGGAGGACGGGCCCATCAGGGTCCGTTCGCAACCCACCACAAGAACGGTGGAAGAGGAGCCCTTCGGGGTGTAATCGGAAGCCAAACACTGAAAGGTGGAGAAGGATCCCTTCGGGGTGAATTTGAAGCCGAAACAATGAAAGGTGGAGAAGGATCCCGAATGGGTGACTTTGTAAGCCCAAACCCTACGGCCCCTATGTCGGCCACGAATAACATTATTGACGAATTCGTCAATCCGAACATCTTTGAGGTTGGAATGTCCCGTCAGGATGGTTTCCAAAGCGTCTTTAATGATAATGGAGAAGTAAGCCATGAGGAGGAAGAGATATGTAAAAACGCAAGGGCCCATAGTTCCGAAACAACGCATTTCCTTAACGAATCCCTTCCGGGGACAACGCTAACGGAGGCGGTAGAGGAAATGGTCTTCAGTGACCCTGATGAACCCGGACCCTCGACCCGCATTCGCAAGCCGACCAAGAAAGAGAAAATGCGGATTGCAAGGGCCCGTGAAACACAAGAAGAACACGAACAGAGACTAAGCCAACAACGTAGCTCGAAAAAACGTGTGCGTGAAAAGATGACTCCCCAAGAACGAGCGGTATTTACCGAAAAGCAAAGAATCGATCAGCAGAATTCACGAATTCACAAGCGCCCGAAAATTCACAGTGGGGTGGTTACCACCCCTGAAACGCAGCCAGCCTTTCCGAATTCTTTCGTGATTGAATCAGAAGTCATGTTGGTGGACCGCGCGCAAATTCGGCGGGATGCAAACGCCGCATTTATGTCTCAAGTACGTCAGCACGAAACTCAAGAACAGACACAAACAAGCTCGGCGTGCTGCCGATTCTATGCAAAAGGCGGAATCGCGGCACCGCGAGACGATAGATCAGACACAAGCACGACGTCAGTCTAATACCGCGCAGATGTCACGACGCCGTCAAACGGAGTCGCAACAACAGACCCAGGTCCGTCGCCAAGCAAACGCCACAAGAATGATTCAAAGTCGTCAAGCGGAAACAGATGAAGAGCGCCAGGCTCGCCAGGCAGCTGATTCTGCCAGGCATGTGCGTCGCAGAAATCTCGAAGCTCCCCAACAACGCGACGCTCGACTGGCAGCCGCCCGTGCCGTGGTTTTCCCATCGCGAGCCGGCCCGCGTCAACCTTC